AGGCTAGTCTTTTTGGCTGTTGTTATCAATAATAAACTTTGGAAATTATTTATGGTCATAGCAGGGGTGGGGGAAGTTGAGAAAGATTATCAAATCTTGGAAATAAAGCTTAAAAACAACTGTACATTGTTTAAGCAATATGTAAATATCTAGGAGAAGAGACCCGTATTTGATTTTGTTATTGAATAGTTTACATGGGAGTCCAGCTGATTTGAAATTACATAATTTGTAGATTCCCGTTGACTGAAAAAGAAAACAGTTTTTTACTGTGTAATCCATGAGCCATTTTTATATTTATTCATATAAATTTATCTCAGCTTCTCAGACTGCCTCCCTAAACAAATGAGTGTTTCTCAAATTCCCCTTCCCACCAGCTTTGTCATCTTCCTGGTTTCCTCATCAATCAAAGAATTAAATAAAATCTTTGTAGTGTTCATTTTACATTTGCACAAGTTACATTTAATTTTTTTACCTTTCTGAAAATTCGGCTTCCATACTTGGGACCAGATGTGTTTTAAAATTTAGAAGTCATCGGATTTTAGAAACTGCAGAGATGTATACTGTATACACTGTATATTTTTATGTTATTATAGATAACTCCCAGCAGCATCTGGAACAATACCCCATAAGTAAATATCTTAATGTTTCTTCAGTGAAACATATAAATATTTATACTCAGTGAGATGAAAAACAAGATTATAAATAGCCTCATGTCATTTCGGGTTTGGTTTTACCACTGAATGAGCTCCAAACAGGTCGGATGCTACTAAATGAATTATGAAAAATTTGTCAGTTTTCAGCACTTGTCAGATTTTGGTAGGCAATTAAGGGATTGTGAACCTATAATTTCTATTACCTTCTCAAACTACATTTATTCAGTTACAGGGACTCATGTCAAAGATAATAAGAAAAAAGGAAGTGTGAACCCTCAGAATCCATTTATAATTTAATACCCTAAAATGCAATACAGTGTGAATTATTTCTTTGAGGAGAGCCATAGAGTCGGAAAATGGAAGAATCTTAAAATAATGGCTAACTCTCCACAACCTGTGTTTAGAAAGACTAACATAATTAAGCGCCCGAGCAAGCAAATAAAAAGCAGCAAACACAACTGAAGATGAAAGGTATAAATAAAACTTTCTAAAGTTAGAAATGAATAACTTTTCTTATACTAATGCTTCGCATAAAATATATAACAAATCTTTCGCAGTCTTTCAATTACTAGAATACCTAAAAGCAACATATTCAGAGAAACTAAATGTCAATACATTAATAGCAAGATTGAAAATGACTATGTCAAGATGTGAGAAATATGCTTTTCAATGATTAAGGGTAATCTCAACATTGGGGATAAAAATTAGAGGCTAAGTTAAAATATGGATAAGTTTAGAAAAATGAAAACAGAGAAAAGCAAGAGAAAGTTTTATTGCAAAGAAAATTCTCTTGTACCTTATACCTTATACATTTTTCATAACTTTTAGGTATATTTGGAATATCGATGACTTTAATTTGAATTTCAAACCACTAAAGTTCCATAATTTTCTTCCTAGCAAACAATTCTCTCTCTCTCTCTCTTTTTGAAAAGATTGAGAAAAGCAGAGATTTCTGGCTTTGCTCTTCCTTCCCCCAACCCCCATTTACCAAAAGCACAAAACAGTGCTGAGAGAAGAGGGAAGGAGATGAGGACTGGAGCTCTGGCCGAGCAGGAGCTCTGGGGTCCCCGGCAGACGAAGGGACTGGCTCAGCACCTCTAGTGGAGAGGGTTGCCTGCAGACTTACCCACACAGCTGCATGTCTTGGACCCATAGGAACCAGGACTGAAAGTTCGGTATTTTGTACCCAGCTATTGAACCTTTTGCAGGGTGCAGCCCTTTCTTTGCTATCTGTCTTTAGGGCCAACCCGCTCCTCTTTCTCATATTCTGAGCAGCCTACCTTGCTTTGTGGGCCCTACTGAGTAACACGGGCGATTTTTCTTTGGCCTGCAAGGGAGGTTTAACATGCTGAGGTTACCGTCTTCTGCCACCTACCCAAGGATCTGCAGAGATAAACTTACATCTATCTGTATATCAACTATCTATACATGTGTAGTCTATGTAAAGATGTATTCTAACACAAATATGTTCCCAATGTATAACTTTCACATGTAACAAGCCACACTCATAAATTCTCTTCTAAGAACTGAAAGAGGATTTGATTGGATTCAAAATGTGAATAGAAAGAATCAGTTCTTTGCTGATTCAAGATTCTCCTTAAAAATCATCCCCCTCAAAACTTATCCTATCAAATATATGACATCCTGAATCAACATTTTTAACAACAGTAGAGAATATTTACTGAATGCTTAACAAATCATTTACTATTTAAAAAACTCTCGGACACAAAATCTTTCAACACTATGTTGAATGAAATTTATATGCTATTAATAATAAGTTTTCACATGTATTAATCTGGCAGTTAGCTGTTTTTATGTGTTACAATTAAAGTTTCCTCTAGAAATAGAATAAAAGGTCTGTGGTTTGAATTTATATTCTCTATTCTATACAAGTACACATTTTGTATATTTAAAGTACCTTATTCTCCTCCATCTTTAAAATGGGAATTTGTCTATGATGTTCTTCCTCCCTTCCTTCTCCATACCCAATTTTTCTGTACACTGTTTATGTATCAGTCTTCTGCAATAAAGACAACCCTTAGTGATATCCTCCTTATGTATTTTTCATCAACACTATAAGGTTTAGCATGTAATTATTTTATTACATATGTGAATTAGCAACTAAATTGTAAATGTTACCCCCAACTGGGCAGTAGATATTTTAAAAGGCTGGGGATGGAAGATAAATAAGGGAAGGAAGCAAAATAATGCTTGCCCAAATAATATAAAAAGCCAGTGATTTTGCATAGCAAAGGAGAAGGTCAAGGCCTATCAGCTGGGAATGTCTCCTCAGTGGTCCCAGAATCAGATGAATTCTATGCTTCCCAGAACTGCAGCACACACAGAAAGTCAGAATGGAGACCAAATAATAGCAGCATCCTAATCATGCAGAAATATAGTCCAAGGCAGTACACATTAAAGGAGAATCTAACTTCTTTGGCTCAAGGTCCATGAATGTATGCATGCTTGGAAGAGAATAGAAATCACTGGAATTTCCAAATGCCAACTCTGTACTTCAAGTATGAATTTCAGAATCTTTAGCCTAGAGAATCTAAGAAAACTACACAGTTGGGAGAGAGTTTCAGTTTGGAGAACTGCTGTTTCAATGGGAATGTCAGGCTTGCAGAGGAGCAGAGACTCCTGAAAAGGGTAACTCCTGGATCTGGGTGGGTGAGCAGGGGCATCCAGGCAGGTCCTGGGCTGCATGAGGCCAGTCAACTCACTGGAAGGAGTGGGGAAGTCAGGATTACAGCCCTGATGCACGCTTTCTAGGAGTATAGCAGGTCCTTGAACAAGGCCGTTTCTTTCAACATTTTCCCTTTGTAACATTGAGGAGATGCCATAGGAACATAACTCTGCTTATATCAATGAGCCTATGGGAACATTGGTTTCATTATACCTAAAATTGCAGAACCTACAAGCAGCATTAAGTGGGTCCATACTTTTAATCACTATGTCTCCATAAGACAAGTGGCGGGTACAAACGTGACATGCTGATATCAACATTGCGTGGCTCCACACTAACCTAACCCAGGCAGGTGCTAACTCAATAGCATCACTCCTCTCCCGGCCATCTCCTTCTATTCTATCTGGAAATCGCCAAGAGTTTTTCTCTGGAACTCAGAAAGATTTCACTCGTGATCTACTTCTCCTCAGCCTTAGCTATCCACCCTTTCCTTGGAATGATCTGCTAGCAGGCACAGCCTGTCTTTGCCCAAAGGCTGCCCCAACCTTTCAGCTACCACTGCCCCTTCAGAAGGTCAAAGCTGACCGTGGTCCATGGCCAAGTGTTTATTCTGCTTCCCATACAATCAGAGCTGTTGCCCACACCTCTGCAGCAACTCTCCTCATTGCCTAGCTGTTCAGATAGCGCTCTACTCAGTCTGCCACTGCATAGGTGTGGTGGATTGCCTGTGAAAATGCTGCCATCTATCCACACTTCCCTTCCTTCCTTCGTGACATTTTCATTAAGAGGTGACTCCAAGCTGGCCTTGCTATTTGCTTTGGCAAAGCAGAGGTAGCAGGTGCCTTACCTACTTTGGCCTCTCAGACCTCCCCAGTCACCATGAGGAAAAGCCCAGCTAGCCTACTAGAGGCTGAAAGGAGGCATAGACTTGTTATCCCTGTCAATCCAGGTGCCAGCCAGCCAACTCCCAGAAACGGGGCTGCCAACTTGGCCTGCAGCTTCCCACAAATGCATGGGGTAGCCCAGAACCTAGCTGGGGCCAGCCTAGATTGCCGGCCTACAGAGTCATGAGTCATAACTGGTTGTTATTTTAAGCCATTCAATTCAGGGGCAGTTTGTTACACAGTAACAAGTAATTAACACAATATGCTAGCCATGACAAATTGTCCACATAATAGTTAACTCTCTACATGAGTTAACTCTACATATTTGAATGTCCTATGCTATTTCACAGCACACATTAGAATATTAAAATGTTCCATTACACTACTGCATTATATTATGCATTATTATCCTATTGCATTATACTGAATTACATTACATTATTATGTGTCCCTCTTTTTCGGAGCTCACAGTTACTTCAGTGGAGCTATATCAGTGCTGGCGATGACCAGGAAAGGAGAACATTACACCTCAGTTCACACTCTACCCAGAAAATCTGTTCTACCCGCAACCAGGGCTTGCTGCTCAGTCTGGTCTACCTTGCTATAAATTTCATCCTCCCTCGTGATTTCCCCCAGTCGCTTCTCAGTCTGGCTTCCACTAAGATTCCAGTACTTTTAGACAAATCTGTATGTATTTCTATCCGTGTAAATGCCCATAGATGGAAGCACCTAAAATTGGCTGTCTTAAAAAATGAGAGATTTTATTTTCTCACCTACCGAGAAATCCAGATGTAGACAGTTTCACGTTTGCTTAATTCAGCAGCTCCACAATCTCACCAAGAATTCATCTTTCTTCCCAGCTGTTTCAGACTTCGGCCTCATCCTCAGATGAGCTCTGTCCTGGGCACAAACTTGTTGCCACGACTGTAGACATCAGATCTAGACATGACACATTTCTTCCCACATGTGTCTTTTTTAAGAGCCTGACGACTTCTCCCAGAAGTCCCCCAGCAGAACTCCCTTCAGATTTTTTTGGCTAGAATTGTGTCACATGCCTCTTTCCAAACAAGTCATTGGTAACTTGTCTGATATGATCATGACTGGCTCAAGTCAATAAGGATTTGCCCCTTTGGCAATATCTGCTAAAATACCTAACCCCTGTGGATGGATGGGGTCAAACCATTTTTACTGGCGTTCGGAGTTTTTATGCAACAAGCGACATGTGGCTTGAGACCTTCCTGCTTAAGACCTTCCTCTTAAGATGTCTCTGCTCATTTCATGATAAAGGTCTCTGAGGGTAAATTCTTTCCTAAGCTCACGTCTCAACTCAGCCAACATTCTCAACTGCATGCAGCGCGTTGTAAGTTATGGAGTCACAGGCAGGATCCCATCACCTCCTGCTTCCACTCTTTCATCCCTGCTCAGATCTGGGCCCTGGACCAGTAGCCTCCACACCATCTTCTGATTTGGTCAGTCCTCACCCCAGATTAGTGGATCAGAAAACCTGAGAGCGAGACTCAGCCATGTGTGTTTTAAAAAGTCTTTCAGGTCATTCAGATGCTCCTCAAAGTTTGAGAGCCACTGTCCATAGTAGCTATGTACCTTTGGGTAAGACATATACTCTCTCTTAGCCTCAGATCATCAGTCTTTAAAACAAGGTAGCAATAAGATCTGCCTTAAAGAGTTCTTGTAAAAATTAAATAAGAAAATACATGTAAGATACTTAATAGCATGCCTGGCCCATGTATACAATAATGTGAATTATTAGTACAGTGTTAGCACATATAACCATAATAAATGTTAGCGTACCTTCACATACATAAAGCTACAGAATAATTCTTAAGACAATCTGCATACAACTAGATGTCTATAAATATATAAACTGATTATTAAGCTACATATTTTAAGTGTGTATATCTATTATGTTCTTTTGATTTATTGGTTCATTTTCTAGCATTTCTTAGTTTTATATTGATTTTTACTTTTTCTTAAATAGATGCACCTAGTTCAATAAAAAGAGTAATTCATACAAAAATTTTATGATAATAGTAGTTCCCTGGCTACGCTATCACCACTTAGCTATATTTTAGCTAACTTTTATGCATAGAGTTCAAGTGCTTAATTTACCAACCTTAGACATTCTTCTCTCTCATTAGAATGAGAATTTAGTGTTCTTATACTACCGTCTCCAGTTCTTGCTGCCTCATCTTCTAAATGCAATTTCATCCCAGTATTAAATCAATATTCTTCAAATTACTATGACTTTGTAAATGTACTTTATTTTAATAATTTACCATGATGTTGTTTCTTCTTGCATATTTTTATCTCTTTTGGAGGCAATAATTTCTCAGCATTTCAACAGCTCAAGGTATCCAATCACTAAGAAAAACTACTCTCAATAGTACTTTCCATACAAATGTACCAGGTAAATGATTAGTCCCATTCCCCCCCCCCCAGAAAACTCTCTTCTAGTTTTGGAACTAGGTGCTGAGATGTCCTTACCACATTCACACTCTGGTGGCAGGCCCTCTTTTCTGACACCTGCTTGTCTTCCTTCTGAGCTTACGGATTCATTGTGGTGCTGACCAATGGGGGCGGGTCTTCTATTGAGAGTCCTTTCTGTTTTCCAGGCCATCATTAACCTCTCATCCAGATGTAGATTCATCTCTGACAGAAAAAGGCTGAAACAGGGCTTAATTTCATAACTTCAGTTAAATAATTCGTAATTCATAAAGAGAAATCAAGTCAGCCCAGCTGACTGTGTCCTATAAATGTACAGAAATAGAACAATTTTCTAAATAACTTAGGTTTTTTTCAACCAGTAGTTTTGGCAACAAGGACATATAACTCCTGTTACATGAAAGCCACAACATAACAACTGAAAATACCAACTAAAGAATATTTCCCCAGGTGCAGTTTGCACAGCCCAGGCCAATTAAAAAATATTATTTATGAATTGGCAGATTAAGTATCAGTAATAGACATTCTATCCTTTATTCACATTCTCAAAGAATGTGTAGTTTTCAGGAAGTGTTTGAGAAATAAAATGAAATGGTACCTTAATCTTTTCCAAAGAGACATGATTTGGTAAACAGTATTATCTTGAAAGCAACTAGTTCTTGTTAATGCTTATCATGCTCTCCTTGTATTCAGTTTAAATGTCACACATCAGCATCTATAGGTGGGCTATTGTCACTGACCTTTGTATTATGTTGAAAAAGCTCCAGGAATTTCTCTTTTTTCCCTTTAGTTTCAAAGAGAGGGGGGAACTTAAGCTCCACTCTTTCATTGCCAGAAATGTGTGCAACCAGAGCTCAATGCTCCCCGTTACATGACATCACAATCGCAGTCAGTAAGTATTGGTGACAAATTCAACAGAATTTCATGGATGCCTTTAGCTAACATCCGAATGAGGGAGGGGGGCTCTTTTATAAAGTTTAAAAAATTTTTTTATTGTATTTTTCCACTATCATTTAAGCCTCTTGTACCCCTCTCCCTCCTGCCAACAGACTCATGGGCACGGGAGCTCTTTCTTCTTAACAACAGGTTTTGTAGGCACCTCTGCCTTTGCAGAAAATGGTAACCTTAACCTCGAGTTTTGCAGATTCATAAATAATACAAGAAGCATTTATTAGAACATAAACTTGTGTCCTACAGTGTTTTTTAAAATATGTGTACATACACACATATATCTGTAGGAAAAATTTACCCTGCATTGTAAACTAACACCAGAAAATGTTAGACAATTAAATGCTAATGATTCATGTGGGTGCTTAGGCTTTGGATTGCTTGCTTAGTAGTGTTAGCATTTAAATGGTCAGCTTTGAAGTTAACAAACAGCCATTGAGAAGCATCAGGGGAGTTCTCAGGGTTTTTTGTTTTTTTTTGCAGCCATTGTTTTAATCTGGCTGGCTCTAGGCTCAACAAAATGGCAGCGATGGGATTTACATAGTGAGGGCTATTTTTGTTAGTGGGAAGGAGGAGATCTTTTCTTCAATATAAATAAATAAAAGGGATGGTCTTGAGAGACTAGCATGTGGGAAAAACGGAATCTTCCAGCCTCCTTCTCCCCAGCCTTGAGATGTCCAATGTCATTTCTTCTTTTCCCTAGAACAAGTTCATGCAAATTTTTTTGTTCCCAAGCCCTTGCCCTGTACATTGCTCACAGCATCTCAGCCCCCGCAAAGAATTGCTTGAATGCTAAGCCAGTGGTCTCCAAGATTCATCAATCTGGACTTTCTGGGGTTAATACCCAAATCCTCTCCTGTGGCAGTAAAGTCAGGGAAAGAATGAAGGGGGGAAATTACATGAAAATTCCTAAAGCCATTGTCTATTGAAAAGAGGGCAATAATTAAGAGATAATGTCAAAGGGGAAAGAACATTCTCACAGGATAATGGTCTCCTGCTGAGAAGAGAATGCCAAGGCAAAGCCAGCACCATTTATGGAAAATAAATGTCATGGCAAGTAAGGTTAAGAAATTTACTTTCAAATCAGAAGAGCCAGTCCCCTGGCAGAGCATGGTTATTCCAAATTATCGAAGCTGATTGAACCACTGCATCCAGTGGATGTTCCTGCAGAAGTATGCTCACTATGTCGTTAGCAGTCTGCAGAGTTAGAGGCCTCCCCATTAATTGATAGATACACGATCAGATAGATAGATTGATGATAGAGTACTGTTTCTCACTTCAGCCAGTTAAGAAAGGTGCAAGTACTGCATAATTTTTAACAAGGTCTTCACTAAGTTACGCTTGGAGTGATTCTAATCGCCTCGACCAGTCTGCATTCTATAGGAGCTTCTTCCTAAGAGCAACTCCTTTTCTTTTGCTAAATAAAAATAAAATTGTTCCAGAGGTGGACATAGAAGTATGAGGGTTCTCGGTAGGCGTAGGGAGTAGGCAATCTTTGTAGTGAAAATAGTTTAGAGCAAGTGGGGCCTTTTAGTATCTTCGCATCATACTCATAAGGCTAATAACTCCAACATTACAGTTCACAGAAAGAATTGCGAAGAAATTTTCAGGTTATTTCGAATGTGTATAAATGAAGCCCAGGCTGCAACGTGGTTAGCTAAATGTCTTTGGCCACCAGTGGAGTGACACCTCAGTTTAATGCATGCAAAAAGTCAAACACTAATGCTGGCAATTTTTTTTATATAAAAACACATAAGTTCTATTCAATCATGGAGAAGAATCACAGTTAACATGACTAGTTCTATACTTGTGAGATGTTACATTATTAGATTCACCATAGACACAGTTTAAAAGTTAAATAAAACCAACAAATATTTGATAAATGTCAACTATGTAGAGTATTTACATTGGATGTCACTGGACCATACATCTGAATAACGTATCCAGAAAGATATGTGTAACCCAAGGAAAGAAGAAGGAAAACTGTACCTATTTTAATCAAAAGTAAAGGACGTGTGGTAATCCAATAGAAAGAAATACTGTCAGAACCCGGGAGGGACCAATACATTGTAGTGAACAAAATCATGGACAGCTTCATGGAGAGGTATGTGGCTTGCCAGGAACATGACCAAACCGGGACCATAGCACTGTTTGAAAGCCCCAGTGGCTTCACACAATACTCAAGGTAAGAGCCAGAGCCTTGCTGTCCACCTGCGAGGTCCCACATCAACGTGCCTGAGCCTATCTCCTTCCAGTCTTTTCTCATTTGTTCCAGGTACGCTGGCATCCCTGCTGCTCCCAGGAAGTGGCTCATCCCTGTTGCCTCAGCCTTCACAGGTGTCATTCCCTCTGGAAATGAGCTTCCTTGGCTATCCTCAAATTCAGGGCTTGGTTCATTCCTTTTTCAGGTCTTAGCTCCAATATTCCTCTTCTCAGCAGCATGTTTCTTGGCCACCATCCCTGAAAGAAGAATTTCCGATCCCCTGCCCCAGTGCTTCCCGTCTGCCTGCTGTGTTGTTTTCTTCTTCTAGTTCACCGTATTCTAATCTACTACACATTTTTGCTTATCTTCTGCCCCCACAATTAGAAGGTAA